AAATTAAAGCTTTCTGCAAAGATTGTGACAGATTGATATGGATAAGAAATAGGAAAATATTGGATTTTGTGCTTTTTGTTAAGTGCGAAAAGTAGAAAATAAGGAAGACAGATGATTTAGACAGATTTTATCAAGGCCAAACACGCTCGTCCAACGCGGTTGAAGATAACACATAAACATTAAGAAAGGAAGTAGGTAGGCGAATGAATGAAGTCCTAGACATCCATTGTCACCTTTGTCGGTGTGAAAAATGATGTCTTAGCTGGTATACGTGACGGCTTCGCGAGATTCTTATCTTGTATGTAGCTACGAGCCTAGGAGAATGATATTATAGTTCTGATTTTACGCGACCATTAGAATTAAAGTGCCAATCAACCTTATCAATTAAAATCGTAACTAAAATGACTAATAAAAAAACAGTGCATTGTCGTTGCCGCTACCATTGCTATTAGTACTATTTTGGGAAATACGGAAAAATAATAATATATATAATCTATTGTCGATTCTCGTCTCTCCCGTGGCTTAAAAGATGAATTTTATTATTTTATTAAAAACCATCAGGGAAGGGAAAAATATTTTAAAGATAGTAGAGAACAAAAGGGGAAAATGTTAATATGTACCTACATATTTCTATTCTGCCCTCCATCATAACGTGGGTAATTGATATTTTTGAAACAAGATTTACAACCCCTCTTAAGTGGTTTTTTTAACATATTATTTAGTTTCAGTTTTATAGTTACGCAAAATCAGCTCATTTCATATTTTTCAAAAGAATGAATTTAAAAAAGTTATAATTGATGGGAAGATAGAACGAAAAAGAAAGAGAGGAAATAAACCAAGAATAGCGTACAGTGAACAAAATAGAGATGAACATCAAAATGAGCTTAAACAATGAGTTATACAGAATGGATCACGAGGAGTGAAGAAACTAAAACCGTCGAGAGCCTAGCTCATTAATACGGATGTTCTGTTCGTCTTCCCCACTTCCACAACTAACTTTAACCATTGATATATCTGGATATCTAAGAACGAATTCATGTTCAGCATATTCGTAATGAAGCAATAAAAAAAATGAAAATGTCGTAATAATATTGTTGAATATGCGGATGATGAAATTAAACCCTAGTAATTTTGTTTTTTTTTCTCTAATTGGTTCAGCCGGAAACTTAAAACAGCTTTGTGGAAAGTATCTCTTGAGGAGATTATTCTATACTCGACCTTTGAACTTCAAACACAAATATGGCGCTACCTACCTAATAAGACCATTATTTATTTTTCCAAAGATGTTTCAATCCAAATACAATACAATATATTTACTCTTTTTATAGAATATACCTTAAATAGAAGGCTCGGTCCACATGAATTTTATTGTAGAAATAAAAAAGAGAAGGTGCACGAAGGAAAAAGAATAGGTAAAAACAAAATAAGAATATAAAAACAGGTACAATCATATGATGACTTTATATAAAAACACTCCCTTTCAGCGGATTAAGATTTAACATAAGCAAACTTATCCCTAAAGGGCCGTTATTCGTGCAAATACAGATGTTTCATAAGTAGTTAGGTTACATGATTTTCAATGGTATAAGTAACTGGTCAGAATTTTATATGAAGGCGAACACATGTGCTCGCTTCGAAAATGAGTAGAGTGGCGACGATAGAACAAAAGTCAGAGTGACAAAGAAAAGGAATTAAAGAAAGGTTCAAAATTTCAAAAGTAAGCGGCCGGGAACCGGAAAAAAGGGTAATAAAAAGGTGAAATGACGATGGAAGACGTCGCATCATTACAACCTGAAAGCTCATTTAATCAAAAAAGTGTTATTTTTCATAAAAATATGTCACAAAATACTTTCTTTTCTTTTAATGTAAAATACATAAGTAAAACTGTATTGTGACTTTATTTACTGAAAATACAAATAAATAACAACATAGAAACAACACACCACGAACGGTGTTTAATTAAGATAATATACAGGTAAGTAAAAAAGACAATAAAAGCTTAACTACTAGAAAGTAAAACTAGGATTTTTCAATTATATGAATAAAATTGGGTCCCCGCAGCAAGGTGCCCAAGATGCTGGCAGCGTTCCCCTTAGTATTGCTATGCTAGCTAGGGCCGGCAGCTACCTTGCCCAACGCATTAGCATAGCAATACAAAGGGGGAACGCCACCGCGAAAGTATTTAAAAATATCAATTACAAAATACATTACTGTTACACATTTGAAATACGAACTTCAAAATACATTTTTAGAAAGTAATTGAAATACAAAATACTTACTTTGGTGGCACAGTGACCCAAAGCGGCTCTAGGCCTCCGACACAAGATTCTGCCATGCCTCCCGTTTCTCCAGGAAATTCTCCAGGTCTTTCTGGACTTAACGCTCCAGCGGTACCCAGGACGTCCGACCGGTCGGCGTCCACTCGGTCGTCTCAAGTACGCTCTCTTCGCGACACGATCCTCTCCCACTCTCTCCACGTCTCCGGGTCGTATTCTAGAACTCTACTCAATGCTCAAGTCAGGATTTGAGTAACGTTTACTCGAAATTATACTCAAGTCCCTGCCATTAGGGTCGTATTTCCAGTGCTTGTGTTTCCAGAGCAATCCTGACTTGAGCATTGAGTAGAGTTCTAGAATACGACCCTAAGAGACGTGGAGAGAATGTTTTTATGTGGAACCGTTTTGAGTTGGCAATTGTCATTGATCAATAGTATTATTTAAAAAAATAGATTGAGGATTTTTGACATATTTCGTAATAATTCAAAATTGCATTTTATTTTGGAATTTACGAGAAAGTAATACCCACTTGAAATAATATCATCAGTGTTTTGTAAACGACATTTAAACTGCCTGTCCATGGCACCCGCGAAACAGGGCGTGTTATTGCGTTGTTATTTAATAGCTTTTTCAGGGGGCATGTTTTACATTCTAACGACTGTTTTAAAATATGCATGTCTTGTTTTAAAATCCAAATTTGGTTTTCATTAAGTTTAGGTTTTAATTCATGGCACATGATTTAGGTGTTAAAACGGATAGATATAGTAACTCTAACGGTATAGTATAAACAACTATAAGTCGAAGGATTCCAAACTATATACGGTATATATACCTGCATACATAATAGGAGTACAGTTATTTGGTGGACTGATTGATTACATCGTAAGCGAAAAACTTTTCAACTATCTATTTACACCCACATAAATAATCACTCTACCCACATGAAAAAGAAATTATGACGTGATTGTTTTTCCATTTAACCATAGGAAGTAGTGGGTGTGTAGACGCCTCCTAGACGTTATTCGATATTGGTAGATAAACATCGCTTTTCCTATTTCTACTGCATCTTTTTTTTATATATTGAGCATTGGCTATACAGCCATCAGCTTAAACAGGAAAGAAATATAATTATTAATACAAAGATCGAACACTCAGAAAAA